TACTAGCCTTTATTTCAAAAGGTGGCGAAAGGCGACTAATGTAGTTTTGCTTGAACAGATAAAATTGGCCTTAAAATAACACGAGAAATAATTAGTTATCTTACGAATAGATAAACAAAAATCAATGGAAGATATATAGGTGTTATATAACATTAAGTATTCAGTATGCAAATGTCTCTTACTGTAGTAGCATGAGGACGTGAGTCGAATCGACTCAATAATTATCATTGTAGCTAGTTCATGTAGTTTTTAATTTTTATACGGGTTCTTACATGTCATAACATAATATTTTATAATAATATTGACACTTGCATGCGCTAAATCTTGTGTTTAAATCAGTTATCTCCTATAAGAATAACCAATTAGTACTAATAATTTGAGTTGCCAAGAAAAATATGTACGTATTACGTTCATTAACTCGTTAAGGTTTATATATTTTTCCAAACTTTCAAACCACCTGTTCAATTTTCAATTGAAGACAAACAATTACGTACTACAAATGTATCTAGTCGTGCAGACGAATTAGTGCGAAAAACACATGAAAGAGAAAACAAAGCATACCAAAATTTACATATCCGCGTAGGAAAATCCACATAATTTGCCAATTTACATTAAGGAAATGAGATGATGTACACGTCTCTGTTATTTCCCTTCCGTCGTTGTCTTTCTAATTATTATTAAAATTATGAAATGCTAGCTTGAATGACATTTTGGTGTTAACTAAGTTGTGGATAATGGATAATTTGGATATATATATGTATACCAGAAATAAAAGACATGTCTATTTGAAGACAATAGAAAACGAGTAAGTAGCCATCAAAGTTCGGTGATTGTGTGCATTATTTTTTTAAGGCAAGCCCAGGGAGTGTGGTACAAGTACAAAGATTGAATTACAAGACTATTTTCAAACACATGTGGAAGTCTGTATGTAACTAGACTATGGGTGAAAGAACATGTTTTGTTACTATAAAGTAATTCAATAATAAATGCATTTAATTAAGATATCATCCTACAATTTATGAAAAACAGATGAAATCAGACTATCACCTAATTGACTTACAAAAACAGTTGCGCTACCTTAAATTGTTTCATAGCCTGATCGAAATTAGTTCTGATTTATGTGCAAAATGAGCAATCAAAAAGCATAATTCACTATGGTACTACAAATTTCTATCCCACGAGATTAAATCCTATAATAAAGTGGAATTATCACAACAAAAAATATCAATGATGTGATTCACATAAATCTCTTAGGGGTCATTTGGAACGTTTGGTTTCGGAAATTGTGTATTAACATTTAATAAAGTGTATTAAGTTTATGTGTATACTAAAAATTTGTGGGTTTTAAGAATGCTTTGTTTGAAAAATACAGAAGAATGTATGCATTATATATTAAATGAATTATGAATACTAAATCTCATAAAAAGTGAGATTATCTGCCAATCAACCATCGTTTTATGGGAATCTAACGGTTGTGGATTTGTTACGGTTGGGGGGCTTAAATCAGGCGTAGGGTGAGTTGGTGCGTAGCAGATTAATGTTAAGGAGGAGAAGTCGGTGAAAACTTAATTGAGTGGGAAGTCCCAAAACGGCAGCGTGGGCGGGTCCAACAGCAGAGTGGCGACCCGAGTCAGGAACCGGTGGGGCCTAACTTGTCGTGAGCCGCACGCGTGATGAATGGATGGTCAAATATTTCAGACCGCAGCCAACAAAAATAAAAAAAATTGCAATAATAAGCAAAAAAACTAATTTCAATTTTCAACGAGAAGAAACAAAAAGGGAAAAAGATAGAATAAAGCACCGAAAGACATTTGGGAGGGTAAATAACATTTTATGATACCTTGACTTCAAGTTACTCGACAACTGGTCATCTAACTCTTATTTCCTATCATATTTATCTTTCTTTTACCTTCACGTGAGCTAACCAACTTACTCTTGAGTCTTGACATTAAAAAAAGGTATACGTTCCAATTTTGATAACTCGTATTAATTTAGTAAATGTACCAAGGTATGATAAGTCTAAGAAATCTTCAAATACGATTAGCTGTCATTTAAAAAAATGTTTAGTTAATTATGATATACTATCTGTTAGGTAAAATATAATACACAATTCCTATATTTTATACTTGTAGTGGACATGTTATTGAAGGTATATTTCAGTATTGATAAGAGATTAAAACGCTTAACTAATTTTTTCCCAACAATTCGAGTTATTGGTACCAAGTGGTTTGTTTGTCACATGGTATCAGAGTCTAGAACCGAAAGGTCATGGTTTCGAATCCTCATGACGACCCCCAATATTTCAGCCATTTGTTTAGCACAAGGGATGGTATGTCCAACCTGTGCAAACTAATCGTGGTTTGGCAGCACAAGGGTTCAGCCTGTGCAAACCGTAAAAATTCACAATTCAGCATAGACTTTCTTTTGAGGGGGCGTGTAAGAGATTAAAAAGGAATGATACGTTCAACCTGTACAAACTGAAAGCAGAATGGGTTTGTCAGCACAAGGAATGATACGTTCAACCTGTGCAAACCGTATAAGAAAACCCCCAAAAAAAGATATGCTTTCGTTTAAGGGAGCGTAGAAGAGATTAAAAGGCTTAACTATCCCTTTCCAAAAACTCGAGTTATTGGGACCAAATGGTTAGTTCGCTAACCGTATTTGCATTTAGAATTTCATACTTCAAATTGATGGTATTATCATAAGTTGTAGAGTGGTTAGAAGGCAGTTTTATCGTAGTTAGTGTAGTTGGGACCAATTAGCTAAGTCTGTCCAAATATTAAGGAAACCTAAACCTACATGGTTAGCTATGTGTGTAGTAGATATACTTAAAACTATAATATTGTCCTAACTGCCCTGCATGGTTGAGAGTTGATGCATTAACTATTAAGTTATTCAATTGTTTTTTTTATGTCGTTCATATAAATGACTTTAGAAAAATATAACAAAGTCTATTACAACAATTCACAAGACAAAGAGAGGTTTTTGCTTGCTATCAAATGAGCAAGTCAAAAGATGGCATAGGGTTGCCTCTCGAAAGCAGAGAGATGGAGAGGATGATAAACAAAATGGTAATTCAATTCGAGAGCAAAGATCCGGCAATAATTTTCTTTTTTCAATTATCGTAGTTGAGTACTTGAGTTGTTGGGTAAACAAAAAAAAAATGTTGGTATAACTTAGAATATTTTTATTTGACAAGCCACTGAAATAATAGAAAGCTTGTTCATTTACTTTATTGCTTTGTTGGATTGTTGGTTTCTTCACAATACTTGTCGGTCTCGTCACAATACCAAACCATAACATGAGTTTACAATTTGAGTTGCTACATTTTGAGACATGTCGATTACGCCAAGCTTTTATCAATTTTCGAATATATCAAGAAATTAAACCACCCTTTTACTTTTGTTTGTCCTTTGGTACGAAGAAGTAAAGAGAGCCTGGCTTCGTACTATGGATTTTCCGAGGCTTTAAAAGCAAGCCAAGGCCATCACGGGTGTAGTCAATCGAGATCTAAAGAGAGAAAGAGACAGAGTGCCATTTTGATTTCCTTTCCTCGATCTGAATTCCCGTTTATGAACAGAAATCACCGCCAAAATAACCCAAACCATGAAAGAAGACTTGCCACAGAACCAAAACAATACCAAGGCTGAGAAATTACAAAAAGAAAATCCTCATAATCCAGAATATAATAAAGCAGCAGCAAAGCCAAAAAAAAAAAAATGGTTACCACTTCCACTTATGGTTGTAATTCCACGTAATCCACGTGCTAAAATACGCCACCTTCACATTATTCTTTCTTCGCTCGTTTCATTTCCTACGCCTCATCCAACTTTCCCCCTCCTTTTCTTTATTCGAATTTCTAAATACATTAATTTTCATTTTCACCATTTTTTTTGACGAACCATCATTTTCTTACTGCTGTCTGTTTGTTCTTTTACGGTTTTACCACGACATGTTTCTTATTATTTTAACTGTGGTTCCGTGCTGCAGTAGTCTTATTTGGCAGCTGCCCTCCAAATCTCATCTCTTATTTTGTTATGTTATGTTACGTGCCTTCAATTTATTATTATTTACTAAGAACAACAAGCTAGCCCAAGTAGTACTTCTGCCGCCACCCAGCAGCGCTAGGTCTAAATTAACTTCGAGGTTACTCCAAATAGAATAAAGTTATTATTAAAAAAATAACAAAATTACTTCTTAATAACATGTCGCGCTTGAATTGTGATGCGAAGTGAGAACCCCTGTTAATTTGAGTCGGTTGAGGAGATCGAAAATTGAACTTCATATGGATTATAATGATAATTATGAAATCTCTTCTTCAAAATGTCTACTAGTACGACCAAATGTGGAACCACCAATTTGCTATCTTAACTTGAATTGTTGAGAGTATTTCTACATCAAATTTTAATAACATCACATATAAAAATAGTAATTCAACAAATAGAAGAGGACTGCAGTAACTCTCATTTTGACCATTCTACCATCTCTAAGTCACGGTCTTCCATTTATGCCATTATGATACAAGTGTTTAGTACTCAAGTGAAACAGACAGTTTACTATGTAGAAATCATAGGTGGCTCCAAACATTTGCACTCTCAAAACTCCAATCATTTCAGAGGGTGCTGACTGTACCTAGCTACCTAAATACATAATTAACAACCTTGGCTGATACTAGTACTAATCAACCATTTCTTGGCCATGCTAACAACCCAAAAGAAAGTAAGAAAAAAGCACAAAACTTTTCTTCTTTCTTTTCCTCTTTACCCCCCTATTCATCAATTTTCTTTAATAAATTTTAATAATTTGTACTTGCTCTCCTCCTGCCTCTGAAAACAGTTTAAAGCTGCAACGGAATCGCCATATACAGAAAAGGTGTGTGGTTTGTGTGTAGCGCAGGATAAGAGCATGCACACTCTTTCCCACTTCCCTTCTTCCCAAGCTGAATATTATTATTATTATTATTGAAAAAGCAAACAGAAACATAAACAAAGAGAGGAGGAGGAGGAGTTCACCAATGGTTCACTTCAGTGAAAGGTCGACCTCTTTTTGAGATAGAAAGAGAGAGAAAGGCTGGATTTTGAAAGGAGCCCGAGAGGAAGAAGGAGGGCAGGAGGAGAGGAATGAAGAAGGAAGGAAGATTCATTGCTTTGATCGGCGTGCTTGTGTAGGAACTCATGGAGGTGGTGGGTGGGTGGGTTTTCTTTGGGGACTTTTGTCGAATAGTTGGAGAGCATAGATAGCCCCACCTTGTTGTAAAAACATAAAGGAAGCCCTTTTTTCCTCTCCTTTTGCAGGGGTTTTCCATTGATTTTTTTGTTGGTCTCTTTCGGAATTGGGGGTCTGCGAGGGGATTGGGATTGGATTGGACCCCTCTCTTTCACTTTCTCTACTTCTCTCTCTTTCTCTGTCTCTTCTCTGCCTCTGGTCTAAGCAGCTGAAGAAGAAACAGAGACAGACAAGTTTCTCTTTTGTGACCACTTGGAAGCCTTCTTTTTTTGGGTGAACATGAGATTCCCTCGTCATCCCTCGACCTCCTGCTGCTTCTGAAGCAGAGCAGTCTTTTGTTCATTTCTTTTGATTTGAAGGCTTGGACTGAGGTTCAGTCCTGTTATTTTCCCCTTCCTCCTTTGCTATTCGCGGAGAAGAGAGGAGAAGCAGAGCAATTGAAAGGCAAATGCTTTTGGTTGCTTTGAGCTGAAGAAGAAGGAGAAGAACGGGGTAATGGAGTTGGTTTCTTTTGAGTTGCTATTGCCTTTGCCGGAATCATTTTGAGTCCCAAAAGCAGAGCAAGTATCGAAGCGGAAAACAGAGGAACTGAAGAAAACAGAGCCCACCGCAGAAATGGCGTCCGTTGAAGAAAAGGGGAAGGGCAGCGGAGGTGGCGGCGGATTGGTCGGTGCCGGAGCACAACCGCCGGCGACTCTCATTGAGGAAATGAAGCTTCTGAAAGAAATCCAGGATCATTCTGCTGGTCTGTTGTCATAAAGTTCGGATCTTTTTATCTTAAAAAAAAAAAAAAAGCTGTGATCTTTAACATTGCACGAGCTGGAAACATCCTTAACGCTTTCTGGGTTATGTTGCTGGTATCTTGTTGTACTATTGGGATTTATTCTGTTTCTGTTGTTGCTCTTTTGGGTTTGGCTTCAGGGAACCGTAAGGCGATAATAAACACAGAGCTCTGGTACGCCTGTGCTGGCCCACTAGTTTCCTTGCCTCATGTTGGAAGCCTCGTCTATTACTTCCCTCAGGGCCACAGCGAACAGGTTACTTTCTCACTCTCTCATAAATGCTTCAGTTTTCAGTTTCATACATTTTCATTGAAGGTCATTTCCTGCGCTTTTGCCGTTTATTTGGATTGGTGGAGGTGCTGGTTTTCTAGAGCAAGGTCTTTTTCATGAGGGGATGGAGAATTCTTTTTTGGTTTTGGGTGAAATGGTCAAGTATCAATGTCAACCTTATTTAGCTAAGCTTCTCATATTATTACTACGAGAGCAGTTTCCTATACATCTCTATTGGCATTTATCATCAATCTTGTTTGGACTTTTGTGTCGTTGGTAGTGCCATCCCTCTCAAATCAAAGTGTCTCTCATTTCATGCTCTTTGGTATATGGCTCTTTCCCCGGCTAATTTTGCTCCTACCTTCTCCCATTTGCTAGTATAAAACTATAGATCTTATTTTAGCTTGTGTCTTACCGACTCAAGTGGTTGACATTAATTTTTTTTAAAAGGAAACCAATATTTTGTTTGTTTCGTACATGGAAATTCTTCTTTTAAGTTTCCGAATTTCATTAATTTTTCGATGCATGAATTCGAGGCTCAACTCGTGATTGCTTGATAAGCAAGTTATTAAGCTCTGTTGAGGTTGATTGATCTTTTTGGGGCTTCTGTGATGTAGGTTGCAGTTTCTACAAAGAGAAGTGCTACTTCTCAAATCCCCAACTATCCAAACCTTCCATCTCAGTTGCTGTGCCAAGTTCACAATGTGACCCAGCATGTATGCCATTTTTACCCCATCCATTTCGTTCTTACTTTCCCTCTGCAGTGTTCTTCTCTTTGATACTACTTATCTTTTGTGATCATTAATTAGGCAGACAAAGAAACGGATGAAATATATGCACAAATGAGCCTTCAACCGGTCAATTCAGTAAGCTCCTTTTTCATTTAACTTGAAGAAAATGCTATCTTTTGCCTATTTTTCACAGATGTGTTCATTCATCTCTTTGTAGGAGAAAGATATCTTTCCTATTCCGGACTTTGGATTGAAGGCCGGCAGACATCCCACCGAATTCTTCTGCAAAACCCTGACAGCAAGTGATACTAGCACTCATGGTGGCTTCTCAGTACCAAGGAGGGCTGCAGAGAAGCTCTTCCCTCAGTTGGTCAGTTTCCAATGTCCACCACCTAAAATATCTCTTAGTTACCTTTTGAATGAGAGAAATAAACCTAAAAAGGGTGATTCCTTTTTGGTTCAGGATTACACAATGCAACCTCCTACTCAGGAGCTTCTTGTTCGAGACTTGCATGACAATGCCTGGACTTTTCGCCACATCTACCGAGGACAGCCAAAACGACACCTCCTCACGACTGGCTGGAGCCTTTTCGTCGGATCAAAGAGGCTGAAAGCAGGAGATTCAGTCTTGTTCATCAGGTAAACTGATGCTTCATATTTCATGGTTGTTGGGTTTTCATTCATTGTTGTCTCACCTGGAAACTTAATGGCCCTGGATCGAACACAATTTTCAGGGATGAGAAGTCACAGTTAATGGTGGGAGTGAGACGAGCAAATCGTCAGCAGACGACACTGCCATCATCAGTTCTCTCAGCAGATAGCATGCACATTGGTGTCCTTGCTGCTGCAGCTCATGCTGCTGCAAACAGGAGTCCGTTCACCATCTTCTACAATCCAAGGTAACTAAATTTCGAAATTTCAATCTTTATTCATTGTTTGTCTAGTGAATGTGCCTTGCTGCTCATGTGAATGAAATGGACTGACTTTTTGGTTGTTGGCAGGGCATGTCCTTCAGAGTTTGTCATTCCTTTGGTCAAATACAGGAAAGCTGTGTACGGAACTCAAGTCTCTGTTGGGATGAGGTTTGGGATGATGTTTGAGACGGAGGAATCGGCCAAACGAAGGTCTCGTTTGATCTTTTCCTAACCGTTCTGCTACTAACTATGATCATGTTAGTTTGCTTGTTGAACAAGGTTTTGCTTTCTTGTTGAACAGATACATGGGGTCAATAGTGGCTGTTAGCGACTTGGATCCCTTGCGGTGGCCTGGTTCCAAATGGCGAAACCTCCAGGTGGAGTGGGATGAGCCAGGATGTTCTGACAAACCGAGTCGTGTTAGTCCATGGGAAGTAGAAACTCCCGAGAGCCTTTTCATTTTCCCTTCTTTAACCTCAGGTCTCAAGAGGTCCATCCATGGTGGTTACTTAGGTATTAGAAAGAGCTTTTTTAAGAAACACCCTGGTTATCTTAATATTCTTCTTCGAATCTGGTTCTGATGATATACCTTTGTGTTTATTTAGGAGGAGAAACTGAATGGGGAAATATGATTAAAAGACCCCTAATCTGGCTTCCTGATGGTGGCAATGGAAGTCTTCCTTACCCACCAACAATTCCAGATTCTGATAGACTGCTTAAGATGTTAATGAAACCACCAGCTATAAACTATCCTGGACTCTGCTCTTCTCCTGCCTTCCAAGAAGTCTGTGCTGCCAAAGGACCATCGGTGGAAGATGTTAGGATCATAAACCAACATTCAGATGTAGCAGTTATGTTCTCTGGAAACCATCCCCTTTATCAGCAGCAACAGCAACAGCCGTCGTGTCTAGAGCAACGTGAGACTGGGAATTCTTCGTCGTCATTCAAAGTCAACAATGTTCCTGGAAAGCCAAATCATTCAACGAAACCTGAAAAAAATCAAGCACTGACCCCACCAGAGAAGATGGTGAAATCAGAAGCTGAGTTGACCCAGGTGACTACTGCTGAACATTTACCGAATGGTCACTGGTCCATTATGCAGCAGCCACTTGAAGAGCCATCGTCATCAGTTGCTCAGCCTCTTCAGCAACCACATTTCCCTCAACCTGACCAAAACGTCCTTCCATTCCTGGACACAGTGGACGAATGGACATCACAGCAGTCTCCAGCAATGCATGTCTCAGCATCAATCCAAAGACAGCCTGGAACAATGTCAATGTTCGGGATGCAAGAACCATCTCCTCCCATACTCTTTCCCGAAACAATAGTGAACCAGGATGTGTGGGATCATCACCAGCTGAACAACCTGAGGTATCTAAACCAATCGACCCAGTTCGTACCGATGTCTCAACAGGATCATTGCAGCTTCAACTCGGTTGATGAGAGCAATGGCCAAAGTGGAATCTATAGCTCTCTCAATAATGGCCATGGTGGTGGTGGTGTTATGATTGACCCTTCGAGTACTATTCTAGACGATTTCTGTTCCTTGAAGGATCAGGATTTCCACAACAACCCTTCTTCAGATTGCCTTGTGGGCAACTTCAGCTCGAGCCAGGATGTTCAGTCTCAGATCACTTCAGTAAGTTTGGCGGATTCTCAAGCTTTCTCTCAGCAGCAGGAGTTTCCTGATAGCTCTGGTGGGACTTCTTCTAGCAATGTGGAGTTTGATAAGGGCAATAGCCTCGTGCAAACTAACTCCTGGCAGCAGGTTGCTCCCCGCGTGAGGACTTATACTAAGGTATGCTACCTATGTAACATTGGAAATATTATTCTTGAACTATCGAAAATTCATGAAGATTTTTATATCATGAAGAACTGTGTCAGATACCTAGTGGTCACTAGTCACTACTCTTGGATGTTTGATAAGACCAAACACTGTTTTTGTTACAAACTTCTGTTGCGTTCATGGGCTCTCTAAGATTGGTTCCACCCAAATTGTAAGATCAAAATCGGATCTCCACTATAGAGATCTGATATCTTGATTCCCTATTGAATGCTAAATTGTGCTTCTCTAATGGATTACCAAAACAGGTTCAGAAGGCAGGGTCAGTTGGTCGATCCATCGACGTTTCGAGCTTCAAGAACTACGAGGAGCTATGCTCGGCGATCGAGTGCATGTTCGGTCTTGGGGGGTTGCTGACTAATCCAAGGGAGTCGGGATGGAAGTTGGTTTACGTGGACTACGAGAATGATGTCCTGCTCATTGGCGATGATCCATGGGAGTAAGAGAAAATCTACTCTGCATATATTTTTTCCCTTCCCTTTTCTTTCTGTTGCATGAAAATTGGAATCTGAGATTTGGGTGGTTTTTTTTATTTATTTTGAAAAAGGGAATTCGTGGGATGTGTACGATGCATAAGGATTCTATCGCCTCAAGAAGTTCAGCAGATGAGCGAGGAAGGGATGAAGCTACTCAACAGCACGAATATGCAGCAGGGGATCAACATTGCTTCCTCTACCATCGCACAAGGTTAATGCTGACACCACAATGAATGAGAGAGGGATACAATGAATCAGTGCTCTACAGGAATGCAAATGGGCCGACTGATCGAACTTCATTATCTGTTAGGAAGTGGATCCAGTACACCCCATTACTCACTGTATCAGCAGCATCAGCTGCAGCAGCTTTATAGCTAGCTAGGGTTTAGGAGTAGGAATTGGGGATCTTGTGATTTAGTGATTTACCATTGCCATCACCTTGGTTAAGGTGCGGCTTTCCTCGTTGTATGTTGTAACTTGTAAGCTAATTGGATGAAGTTGATGAGTATCTAGAAGATTGGCCACAAAATGAAGAAAAACTAGAGAAGATAGTTGACCCACATATGACCAAGTCTCTGGCCCTGGCATGGCGACAACCCCATATAAAGGCTACGTATTTCCAGTTATGCATAACTCATGATATGGAGGCAGGAAAGGTCAATTGCAGTTCTTTTGACTGTGATGTAATGGTCAAAATTAATATAAATAGAAATCTTTGATGAAATAGTAAAAGGTCAATGAATCTGCAAGTATGTGTTCCAAACTCCAACAAGTGTAGGCAGGTTCTATTGATAATAAGCATAATGTAATCACAGTTGGGCAAAAATTCATGAATACACTATAATTTCCCCATACTCGGTACTCCTAAGAGTTTATACTAATCTTCCACAACTAAGAGTTCCCCCTAAAAGTTACACGGAAAAGACGGATAAATTTTACAACAGAAACATAAATATATCGCCTTCTTTTGCTCTTCATTGCTGCTTGAAAGTCAGAAACCTCTAAATGTGCAATTGGATAAGTAAGGGGCAAAAGAATTTTGATGTGGGCATTTCAACAATGCAAGCTTAGCTGCCCTAGTTCGAACAAAGACCAAGCATGCTTACCTCTTTTCCTAGTTTCAGCCTCTTGCTGGCTTCTGAAGAACTGCAGATAAATAAACTTCAGACCTCCCACTTGCTGCATCAACCTTCTCTCCCACAACCCATTTCAACTTCTTATACCCAAACCTCTCGATCAATCTTGTCAAAACCCCTTTCTTCTCATCATTAGCACAATAGAAGTTATCCAACCAAAACAATCCACCTGGTCTAAGCACACGATCGATGTCAAACATCAAGAACTCGAGCTTCTCCACCTTGCTACCAACATCCAATCCACTCGACGCATGTACCAGATCAAATACATTGTCGTAAAATGGAAACCTATGATCCAAACTCAAGTACAGAGGGAACAGCCCTCTCGAAGAAATGAACTCGCTAAACGGAGCATCGACATTCAACGTGTTTGTAATCACAGTCACGTTCCTCTCAGCCATTCTAGCAGCAAAAGTTCCCGATCCACCACCGATGTCGAACCCAATCCTAATCCCACCACTGCCTAACCCTAAAACATCATCCAACAAGAAATCATTCTTCCCTTTGGACTTCACATACCTCTGATTCTCAGCCCCACCCAAGTCGAAGCAATTCACACATTCCCTACTCAACTTCTTCTTACTCAAACAATCAAACCCTTTGCAACCATAACCACTCCAGCTACCAACTACCTTATTATCAACAACAGAACTCCAAAGAGACAAAGGAAAAGGTTTCAGGAGCCCCAACTTACTCCCACCTTTAGCAAAACATCTTCTCCTCGGCAAAGGCTCACACCCACGAAGAATCAACTTCTGGGCAAGGCTCCAATCATCAGGGCAAGAACCAGAAACCTTGTAGTTCATGTACTGCGACAGCAAATCGGTCGATCTCTCGCAGGAATGGCCTACAGAAGCCACCATCTCTGTGATCCCAGTTCTTGAATCTTTCCCCAGAGGCAGTTGGTGATGCTGGAGAAACAATTTGAGCTCACTAGCAATATTGGGTCTTGAGATGTCGATGGTGTCATAACCTAGAAGCTCCTTCTCCATCTTGGCGAGCTTTTTCTGGGATGAACCGATCTCTCGCAGGATTAAGGAGACATGCTCGGAGATCAAGGAGATGTTCTTGTGGGGATTGAGATTGTGGGCGTGGAGGTGGATGGGGGAGTAATTGAAGGCATAGAGAGCGAAGAGATTTGTAGTGAGCACTGAAAGGATCATGAGAAGGTTTAAAGCCGATGTGCAGAGTGTTGCCCGTTTGAATCTGGCGGTGCCGTCGCCGATTTTCAGCGACACTGATCCCATCTCTCTTTGTTGTGTCTCTCCTCTTCTTTTTTGCTGCTTGAGTGTAAAGATTGGAGCTTTGGGAGTGAGTGAGTGGAAAGAACTCAGATTTGGGGGAGTTTGGAGCAGGTGGGATTTGTTTTAACTGTGGAGGGAAAAGTAGATGTAATTAGAGTTTTGATTAGTGGGCGAGATTTAGGATTTAGGACAGTGGCGAGAGAGAAGTGTTTGTCGGTTGCGGTTTCGCAGTTGTAAATTTCTTTCCTTTTTCTTCGAGTTTGGACTTCTGATTAGCAGAGTGAAACGAAGAAGTGAAGTGAGCTTGCTTGCTTTGCTCTCTCTACACGGGAATGCTGCAAGCCTGCAACTAGCCATGAAGCTTAGCTTAGGATCAATTTTACAAATGGTCTCTGGAGTTTGAAGCCATTGACTAATAGGTCACTTCAAGTTATTTTGACTCTTAAACAATTGTATCACTAAGACTTTGGGGACAACTCAATATGTAACAATGAAATGGCCAGCATGCCGTATTTCCATGTTTAACATAATATCGTCTATTAAACTCAAACAATGTTATACTCCAATGTTATGCTAATACTTTTTTTCGTCGAATTAGTGTTGTACTGTTGTTTATTAAACTTAAAGAAAGTTTCATAGAAAACATTCGAAGATTAGCATTGTTGTTACAAGTTTCCGTCCAAATGGAAGTTGAACAACTTTGCAATCTATTAGAGTACTGTTAACAAGTAGATAAATATCATTAGTTAGGAGTTAGGACAAAAGGTTACAGTGACAAGCAAGCAATATTACAATTGTTTGATCCATTTGTCGGCGAAGCATTTTTGCACTTATTTTTTTTATAATTATTTACTGCTATTTATTTATGACTTATTGACTAGCTTTGGACTTGGTGGTTTAAGGGGGAAAAGAGAATATTCACCAAAGGTAAGGTAATAAATAAATAAAAAAGGAATCTTCACTCACACGATGAGAAAAGTCAGGGGACAGGTGATTTTCTGTAACTGGACTGAGCCCAACCCTACCGACCAATTATTAAGGCTCAACCGGCATTTGCCATTCGGCCCAATCCATTATGGTTGCCCACTGATGTCGACAAACATGGGCCCATTGACTATTGAGACACAGCAGCCACTAGCTTCAAATTCAATCAGTCCCCAACAACACAAGTTGCGTTTCCGCTGCTATGAATCAATCAACAAAAAATCCAGCACCAACATTTGCAACCAAGATTAAACCAGTGGACAAAAACCACTAATCTAAGCAGATGAACTAAATTATTAAACAGAAGGGGAGGGCAATGGCTTGGTCTACACGAGACCAGACCACATCAAACCATAATTATGCTTGGAATGGGAAGAGAATCACAAAAGACAGTCGGTAAATGGATGAATAAAAAAAACAGAGCTTCCTTACATGCCATCAATGGTGAGTTAAAAGATCAGAAGCATTGTCAATCTATAATTGGAGATGGTAATCAATGGGATCCTGAAAAGTTCATGAGTCTCTCATCCAAAACAAATGTCCCACAATGTGCTACCAAATATTTTTATTCAGCTAACAAAAAACAAGGATTCCTTGCAGTTCATCCCGCATCAATCATCCAACAGCAAGCACATATGATCATTTGTGTCCTCCCTTGGCTGCAACTGGGGTCTTCTTCGTCATCTGGTAAAGGATTAAGAATTGATGTTCAATCAACAGAACAAGTTAAAATATAATAAGACAACGAATCAAAGATGGTGTGTCGCATAATCATACGTTCACCAACAAATAAAGGAAGAACTGTATAAAGCGGGTTCACACATCGTCTGGTTCCCATGTCATACATTCACATCAAACTACTTAGACCTGAATGGTGCCCTTCTGAAGCTCCTGATTTATGAGGAAAGTAACATGGAACTAGAATTAGTATAGCATTGCCTGTGATTTCCTCCCTCTGATGCAGGAAGAAGTGCAGAGGTGGGTTCGGGTTTGCACATCTTCTGGTTCATATGACTATGGATTTACATAAACCTACTTAAGGCTATGCTGACTGCATTACATGCCCTATCAAGCTCCTTATTCAAGATGCACGCCCTCACTGCACTAGAAGTCCATTACAATAAGATTTGCCTGAAACCAATTCTATAATGAAAGATGAATGCTCACTCCGTCAAGCCATAGAATATTACCCTCTCAAACTTCCCATCACCTTGTTAAAGCATTCGATTAAAGTAAAAAAACAGTTCATGAACCCAGCACCAATTCAAGCATAGATTCCAGGGATTTTGCTGGAATCGAAGAAATTTCCCCTAAAATTCAAGGCAACAGCAACTGCTAGATTGCTTCAAATATTGAAGCAGACAATACCATTACCGACTGAGCTGGGAGTTAAGGGAAGGAACTAGCAATTACCGTAAGATATTTGAGCTTCAAACCTCCGTACACTAATCCGAAACTGAACGCCGATGCACGAGCCACCTAAATCAACACCAATTCAATCCGCAATCGTAAGAAATCCATCAAGAATTTGATGCAACCCTACTGTTCGGTCCTCGAGACAACCAGGCAAGCTCGGGAGAATCTATACTGATTAGGAAGGAAGGAAAAAGGCACTTACCAGAGCGAGGGTGCTTCCGCCTGTGTAAGGACCTGGTACCGCCATTGCTCTCTTCTTCTGCCGCTGTCGATAGAAACCCTAGAGATCGCCGGAAGTTCTGAAAAGGGAGAAAAAGTTTAGGGCCCGATTTCTTTGATTTTCCTTTATCTACCTTCTCGTTTACGTGGAGCGGAAAGCAGGACCCGGATATAAAACCGGGCAAAGTCCACACCCGGCTCGTCAGGTAAACAACGGGCTGGCCCGGTAAAAAGCGGCGGTTTATGTCGGTTAGGGAATCAGGAGGAAAAAAATCAATATTTTTTTCTCACTGGTATTTTCTGGAGAAACAAACGGGAAGCTTTACAAGGGGATTTTGATTTTTGATCCGATTCTGAATCCTTTCCTGCGGCTGCGGGAAGAAAATGGGAGGTTCGTCATCGACACAGCAGGCGGGTTCCAGCGAGCAGCGAGAAGCGGAAAGCCTCGCAGCTTCCATTGGACCGCTTCCAATGCTCCAGAACTCCTTCTCGAAGCTTGCCGATCCCCAAACCAGCAAAATTCCTCTTGAATCTCTCCAGGTAAAAAGTCCTAATCCAACGCTGAAGGATCGAAATTCTCCCTCGTGAATGAATTTCCCATAAGTTCACGGTCACTAGTCTAGCTGGATTATCTTACTGATTGAGCTTTTTAAGTTCAGTGTTAGTTACGAAACCCCAGTCTTCGAATCAACAAAAGAGCCCGATTCAAATTCTGTTCTTGGATTTTTGAATCATCTGGGGGAGTCCTTAGTGGAAGAATTTTTCCTTGCTGAGAAGGAAGGAATAACCTGGATTGAGTTTGTGAAAGGCTACGTGAAATGCTGTGGAAGGATGATCGCTTCGATTGTCACTCAACGGTCTGATGAGACTGTTTGCTGCGGCACTGGCGAAATCTGGGTCTCCTTCGAAACTGGAGTTTGAGTCAGTGGATGATGGTTGGTGGTTATAAGATCAGTGGTTATCTCTTACCGGCTGATGTTTTCATTCTGCTATGGATGTCGTGGACGATGCTGTGGAACTCGAAAACTTCCAAAGTGGAAGAGAAAGGGACACTATTACTTCCGGATGTCAGTCATCTGGCGTTGTCTGCTGTCGTTTCGTGTTGGGATGGTCTTGATGGATTAGACTTGTGATTTAGCAGGTTTAGTAGTTCAGCTTCCTGCTGGGAAGTTCCTTGCTTGGGCATTGGCGACTGCTCCAAGCATAACAGATTGCTTGACTTCATCAACTCAGAGGTTGCAGAACTATGGCTCTTCAGGGGTGAGAGAGTAATGTTTATGATGTTTTGTGTTTTCCTCTTGTAATGTTCAGGGCCCTGAATCACGATCTTGTTGTTGAACTGGCAGGATGAGTCTGCACCAGGTACCTCGACCTCTGGAGGGTCTGTATCATCGAGTGGGCGTGGTACTTATCTCTTGACATGTGGCCGTGCATGGGGAATTTCTCTTTCTCTCAAGGGTGCAATTGTTGTAGAAATTCGGAAACCATGCTTCGCTAGTGATGGTGATCAATCAGTTGAACACGTTGTCTATCGGTTTGTTTTCCTACACTTCTCGTGATATATTTATGTACGCAGACCATTTTCAAACTGAAATTCCATTGTTAAATTTAGAAAGGAATTCTAGATTGACCTCCATTCATTATACCCTGTAGGTCATCTGTTCATGGCAGGGGATTGAATAGATTCTGGTCTAACGTTGAAGGTTATCATGGTCCATTACTTATTGTGGAGTCTGCTACTTCTGGAGATACTCAAAACGATAACTCAACTGCAAAGAAGTGTACTATAGGTGCTCTCACACAGCACGGGTTGGAGAACAAAGAGAATTTTTATGGAACCTCTGCAACCTTATACGCCATGTGTCCTGTTTTCCATGTATTTCCACCTTCTGGTAATCTGAAACTTTGAACCCTTCTTCTTATTCCTTTACCATTGATCTTTCTTGGGATGAATGGTTCTGAAAGCCTTTGTGCTGGATCTGTTTGACAGGAAAGGAGAAGAACTTCGTTTACAGCCACCTGCATCCTTCTAGCGGATATGATCCACACCCGAAGCCTGATGAAATCGGGTTTGGTGGATCGATGGAGAACGAAAGGCTATTTATCGATGAAGACTTTGCTAAGGTTACTGTTCGTCACCACGCAGTTGACAAGACACCAACATGGTCCCCTCTTCCCCAATCAGGCAAGTACTCATGGGTGGGAAATACAGCTCTCATCGAAACCAAATGGATGTTGCCAGGGGATGATTAACTTGTGTTTTCCATGTATCAGGGGTTTCTCCCAGTTGAGGCATTGATTTCAGAAGTGGAGGTCTGGGGACTTGGTGGGGAGGCGGCAAGATCTGTTCAAACTTCCTACAAGCAACGGGAGGTGCTTTTCACCGAGCAGCGATGAAAGATGCCCTATGATCAGCTTCAATTTAAGCTCAATTGTTTAAAGACAACTATCTTGAACTTGCACAAACCCCATATTTCTTTACATTTGTTTTCCAGGTCGATCTGAAGACTTTCTCAAACTGGGAAGATTCGCCGTAGAAGATGATGATGGATATGATGGGTGACCCAAACAGTGTTCGACGAGAAGACTGCTGAAAATTGTCCGTCATTACCTTTCATGATAGATGAAGGATTAGAGCAGCAAGTGAGGAAGATGCATCTTGTCCAGATTTTGTGTTTGTTTATACAGAATGGTGCCAAGAAATCATGTTGTTCCGCTTATGAGTTGTTTGGTTGTACATAATGGTGTGATTAGAAGTTTGTCCTCAAACTTGCATAGTGTTCCCTACTTAGCCAGTTAGCCTCACTCGGCTGTAATAATAAGAAATAAAGCCTCGATCTCTCATCAACAGAGCAATTCATTCTATCCATTTTTGGGACTGCAGCTTCTAAATTAAGATAGCTACTCAATGCACAAGAACAGCTTTTTATTGAAAGGACCACATAGTTTCGAGTCGGATAATGCATGAAGAACCTTGATAAACAGTAATAACAACATCAGCAACTTCCTACAGATGAGTGAACTGAAAAAAGTATGCTAATCTTTCATAGACGATCATCCAATCACAAGCATAAGCATCCACAGCAGCAAAATTTAATCCATGATCTTATCGAAACAATGGAGAGATTAGTTGACCTCCTGCTGATGACTTTGATGAAAAATGCTGGCTGGAAAAGGGATGGATTCACTTCTTGTCTTCTGCTTTCCTCGGCTGGGTGAAAAGGTGAAAGATTAGGATTAACAGATAAAAGAACGGGGTTTTGTTGCTTGAACTGGAAACAATGCAGATGACAATAGACAGATAGAAGGGCACAGCCACTGATAAATGTATGAACATTCAAATGATAGCCATTACAGTTTACTTCTGGAGTCATACGAATACTCCGTTCATAGAACAATCATATACGAGTGAAGGCAAAGAACTACTTCTCAAGTCGTAAATCGAAGGATAACCAGACATGAAAGGCTTGGTTTAACGAAGCTGAATTCTAGCATTTGAGACATTCAGACCTGGAAGAAAGTAGATCTGATGAGCTTAAAGGTAAGCTACATTGCAGAAGGAATCTCACAAGAATGTAGGTGGAGATTAGGAGAGTGACGGTCGAGGAGATATAGATTGATGTTCTACCTACATATCTCAAATGTATAAACCAGGCAGACATGATAAGCATGCTAATCCAACCAGTGAGTCAACCAACACACAGTACGCTTAGCAAAAGGAGGAACTTTTAAGCTCACCACCTGTTTGATGAAATGCCCCAACGAGGAAACAAAGAGGATGCCAAAATTCAGAGGAAACAAAGCAGAAGTAAGCAGCCTTGATTTGAAGAGATTCAAAAACCCACAATAAACACCATTCGATCAGGCATGACACGGCGCCAGAACACAAGCCAAAGGTCAGAGGCGACATTGAGATGGAAGATGAGAAAGGGTACACAAACCTTGGTTCCCGGAGCATGCATACTGAGCTCTTCATCAGGGATGACAACTGGCCATTTCTCCCCGGCTTCCCTAAACATTTGCTCCGTCTGGAGGTACTGGCCTTTCTCCAGAATCATGTTCCGTATCGTCTGCGCAGTAGTCTGGGTGCCGTCGAAGACCTCCTCGACGCCGTTGACGAAAGTGACGGTGATCTGCGGCGGGTGGTCGTCGGTGCGGCGCTTGACCTGGACCTGGCAGGCCGGGTTCGATTCTTTGGCCTTGCGAGCATTGCACTGCGCCAAGAATTCCATACACGATGCCAGGCGCGGGTCCAATGCGTTGAACTCTATCCTCACCTTCGATAGAAACTTCAACATCGTTTGAGCTTAGCTTCTCTCAATTCCCCAGATTTCCCTTTCTAGCTCGCCGCCGATTTTGGCTGACACTGACAAACGCCGGAGCCGGAGAGAGAAATCCCAGCTGAACTTGTTTTGAAGAGAGAGACGGAGCCGTGTCTACTGTCTACTGTAGTTCGGCCGAAAATTGGAGTAATCACGAGGGAAGAACCCCAATGGGCTCTCGGCCCGCTGTCATTTTGGGCCCGATGATTGAAACCTATCACTTCCACAAGGTTCCTTCCAAATTAGTGAATTACCCTAACCAAAACTTCTATAAAATAACATAATTGATAATCTATCTAATCTAAACTAATACTATATGGAGGTTCTCCTCCGTCACCCCAACAATCTCAATTTCCGTGGCTCCTCCGCAGAGCACGGAGGGACGTATTGGTAAATCCATATTTATAACGCAATAAAGTGCGTACGGAAGGCCAGGGGATACAATATTTATGGACCAGTTAAAGAATGGGCTTCAATTAACGTGACCCATAATTCCAGAGCAGTTAAAGAATGGTATTTTCTTCCAGGAACGCTTCTTCCCCAGCGCTTTTTATTTTTCCTAGCCAATTACGCTCCATTTAAATTGTGTTACACGTATTTAAACCATATGTATGTCCAGTACAAAACTTGCTTATCAGTTATTTCATGTGCCTTTAATCTTTTAATAGATGTTGATGTCTCACGATCAAGCACTATTGATCAAATAAATTTTAAAACTTGCTTATTAGTTTTTACATTAGTGAATGTAAGTATAAATATTTTTATTAGCATAATTATATATATCTTACAATTTAATGTTTGACCATGTCATGCATTATTCAAGAGATGCTATTTTTTATACCACCAGAAGGTGTGGTGGATTCTATTCGGTCTCTATCTGAAGTGCAGAAAAAATTCCTTACGGTATAAATATCGATGAATCATCAATTGATCATAATATTACTAACTATTTCACAATGTTTGATTTTTCTAACTATTTTAGAAATTGATGCAAATAAGAGTTAAAGAGAATTAGTCAACCATTTATCAAATTAGCAAGAAGAAAACGTGCTTTTTATATAAGGCAAAGGTATATATATGGAAAAAAATTGTCAACATTCCTACAAGCGATCAATTATATTCATATTTATTTTTGTTTTACATGTTATAAAATTATATGTTAGATGTTAGGATTTCTTATTTTAATGATTCTTATACATGACGTCAAAATGAGATTAATAGCTTACAAACTAAGAGAAATAGATTGTTGAGGTCCATCAAACTTGCTGAAAGTCATTATAATAATCTTTGGGTAATGCGATATGGAGACTTTCCAGGTTTATGAATATTTTAATTGTTTTATTTTCCTTCATTTATTTATTATAATGTTAGAATTTTATCAAATGTATCCCTCATATTGGAGTTTTGATTTTATTGCAATTGTTGAAATGTTTTATATTGGAACCCCATCATATAAATGTGAATATTGTGGAACGATGATGTTGAAGGGAGAAAGTTGTTCCAAGAATATGTTGTCAATGCATATGCATTGGTTGAGGTTGAGCGTTTGGATTAGATTAAAAACAATCAAACATAGATGCGACAACATTACTACCAAGGTCTTTTAGATTCTTACTTGAGAGATGCTTCAAATACCAGTTAAAGTGGAAAATATGTGATTTTAACTTCATCACATAAAGCTAGATAGTCCTCGATATAAGTATTAAAGCTTCCAGAATGCTATAACGATTTGTAGATGGGTAGGATGTCCATATCTTTTCATTACATTTACATGTAATCCTGTTTGGCCTGAGATTCAATACATGCTTGATTTGATAAGGACTATTACTAGGAAAGATCCTAATAGAGATAATGTCCTCACACGATTTTTCAAACTGAAGCTACATAATTTGTTGAATGAGATTTTGGTGAAGAAATTTTTTAGGAAAAAATGTGCATGCAAGTTATACTATCTTTGAGCCCGGCCTGTTGGACGTGTGATGACTTTTGTGTTATAATAGTTGATATGTGTCTAATGACAATTGTTGGGGGTACTACCCAGCAATTAGGGGTTTGGGCCCCAAGACAATGGAATTGGGGGGCAAGGCCCAAAAAAAGGACTTGAGAAATACCTCAAGGCCCGAATAAGAGGAAGGGCGCATAAGGACAAAACGCTAAAGGCCAAAGGAGTCCAAGCTGTCTGGTGGTCCATCACATGTGGGCGTCTGTCACGCGTCAGAAGCCTGACAAGGTGGTTGGGATGTCTGACAAAAAGAGTACAAAGTATTAAATGGGCACAATGACGTGGAGGAGATCAACCTCGAGTTTGGTGAGTATAAATAGGGACAGTCGGTAGCATTTACGGAGGTTGGACTCTCTCACTAAAAATTACTACTGGAGAACACTTCTCTCTCTAAGAAACTGACTTGGGCGTCGGAGGATTAACGGGCCAAGGCGCCCTCCTCTTTGTGTGTGTAGGCAGGCGCTGGGTGAAGGAGGGCTTCGGCCATACGGGCGGGTATTGCGGCTCAAACAATTGGCGCGCCAGGTAGGGGAGTATAACCAGAAATCATGAGTGAGGAGACGGCGATGGATGATGAAAGGGAAAGGGAGGAGGTCACGGAGGACCAATCGGAACGATTAAGGGGGCTGGCGCCCTTAATGGAGGAAGGAGAGGAAGATGATGACATGTTTCGGGGATCGGAAGGCGCCTCGGTGACGAAGAGAGAATTGTTCAAAATCATCGAAGACCAAGACAGAGCGATTGAGGCGCTTCGAAGAGAGGTCGACGCTCTAAAGAGGGGTGGAGGAATGACGCCCAGTCCAGCTAAGAAAAGAGAAAGGGTGGCGGAGACGGAAAGCGAGTCGGGATATCAGAGGCGCCCCAGTTTGTGGCGCCCGCGAGAGTACGATGGGCCAGAAACGGGAGGATGGAACGGAGGAATCTTGGGACGCCTGTCTCGTCACGGGCTGGTGAAGCAGCCTTTGGCACGGAACATACTAATGGAGCCTGCGGGGACCAACATTCCCCCGCTCCCCACCTATGATGGGACCGCAGATCCAGAGGACCACCTCAACGGTTACTTCACCAAAATGCAGCTTTACAACAGTATGGATGCCACCTTGTGCAAAGTGTTCCCGTCAACTTTCGCGGGCGTGGTCCTCGATTGGTATTATCAGATTGAAGAGGGGCGCATTGAGTGCTTTGAGCAGTTCGCGAAGATGTTTCTGGCGAAGTTCGCTAGCAGGAAGCGTCGCACCCTGACCATAGGCGCCCTGTTCAAGATCAAGCAAAGAGATGGAGAGGCGTTGAGGGAGTTTTATGAGAGGTGGTTATCCGTGGCCTTGGCGGTAAAAGACGCGCAGCCGTCAGTATTGGGAGTATGTCTGAACGAATGTACCACCAGCGAGGAGTTGTGCAGATCGCTGGCAAAGAGAGACGTCGTGTGCACTGAAGATCTGGATCACAGAGTGCAGAAGGTAATCATGCTCGAGGAAACTTTGGCGGCCAGAAGGGCCGACAAGCGGAAGACGAAAGGAGAAGAGGTGGAGATGGCAAAGGATGCGCCTGCGAATCCTCCCCCGCCCAGAAGAATGGACGCCAGACGCCCGACGCCCAGGGAAGCGGGACCCTTCGCTGAGTATACGGATACGCTGAAGAATATACTCCAACACGTCAAGGAGAAGGGGTATCATATCAGGTGGCCGGGCCCCATGAGAGGGCAGCCCAACAAGCGGAACCTGGATCGATATTGTGACTTCCACCGAGAGGTGGGACACCATAAGGCCGACTGTTATCAATTGAAGACCGAGTTGCAAGGCTTGGCCGACAGGGGGATGCTCAACGACTTTGTCAAGAAGCCCGAAGAAAGAGTGCACCGGGCCTGTGTGGCCAGCGTGGAAAGAGCGAAGGAAGAGCAGCCACCCCCACCGTATGACCTCGACCAAGAAAATGCGCCCGAACGGGTGCGCCTGACTATCGAGGCTATCTCAGGAACGGTGGACTTGAGGGAGAAAATAGAGGCGAACCGCCGCCTGAGAGCAGCATCGGCAGACGTGCAGGAAGCGATAGATATCAGCTTCAATAGGGCACCAGAGGAAGCGTGCATGCTCCCATCCATGGACGCCCTAGAAATACAAGGAGTGGTGGCGGGTTGCCAAGTCAGGAGGATGCTCGTGGACACGGGAAGTTCGATGGATGTGTTATTCAAGGACACGGTGGTTCGCATGCAGCTATCGCCGGAACTCATCAGACCATCAGAGTCGGTGTTGGTTGGCTTTTCGGGGGCGCCCGCCAGAGTGATAGGGCGAGTGCGCCTGCCGGTTACTTTGGGCGATGGGGAGCAAAGGGTGACGCGTGCCATCGATTTTGGAATAGTGGACTGCCTGCCACCGTACAACGCGATTCTGGGAAGACCTCTCTTGGCCTTGTTTAATGGTGTAGCCTCCACTTGCCATCAGACATTGAAATTCATTGCGCCACAAGGAGTAGTCGTAGCCCGGGGGAGGGGTGCCCCGCGTTACGCGAAAGAAACGGGACAAAAGCGGAGGTGTTCCGAGGCAGTTAACGTGATGGAAACTGCGGCAGAAGAGGCGCCTCGAGCTAAGGCGGCCGACAAGGAACTTATGGTGGCGCTAGACAAGGGACGCCCCGAAAGGCAGGTGAGAATATCGGCCGAGGCGCCCGCCGAAATGAGAGAACGCATCGTCGCCCTTCTTAGGGAGTTCGCGGAGCTTTTCGCCTGGAGTGCATTAGAAATGCCGGGCGTCTCCCCCGAAACGGTTGTGCATCGACTGGCGGTCGAAGAAGGCAAACGCCCCATACAGCAAAAACGGAGGAACTTATCGGCGGAAAAGGAGGCAACACTCAGGATCGATGTGGATAAGCTCATGGGCGCCAACTTGGTCGAATAAACTTCCTATGTTACTTGGCTGTCGAACGTGGTCTTCGTGCCGAAACCATCAGGGGATTGGAGAATGTGCGTAGATTACACAAG